ATGTAACATTATGTATCATTATGTATGATCATTATTTAATTTCTGAAGGCTCCAGACCACTGCCAAAACCTCTGCTTTTATAGAGCTGCTCACACTGGCTGATGATCAGTTAATTAAAGGTATTTGATTAGCAGTGCCTGACCGTTACTTACCCTCTTAAACTAAGGTGTCCTTAGTTTGTCACACATGGCTTTTCCATTTTGGCCTAGTTTTTGTTATTTATATTTAGTATTTATTAGAAGTTGTGTAGATGCTTTGTGTTATGCATGTACTGTAGTGTGTGTTCTCACTGTGTTGTGTGTTTGTTCACAGAGAGGAAGGTTCCTCTAAAGCTGAACTACAGTAAATACTGTACTAATCTAACGGAGGACAATCTCATCCGTCTGGGTGCTCTGCTGATCGACTACAGCACCAAGGAAGCCATGATGGCCATGCGTGACATCGTGCTGGATGACCCCGAGATCAAAATCAGGGTACGACCACAGGATCACAAGTGGACATGACAATGGTGATCATATTCATGCTGATGTATGTGTGTCATTCCAGATTCTGGGAGAACCCAAAGAGAAGCGTAAGCTGGCAGCAGAGCTCACCCTACAGAACCCGCTGCCAGAAACCTTACAAGGCTGCTGCTTCACCATCGAGGGAGCAAACCTCACCGGCGGCAGCAGCATCACCGAGAAGTAAGAACTCAACAACGCTGCTGTGTGTCTTCAGTAAAATGAGAAAGCAGAAACACGGTCCATTTATTTAAATGCACATTTTGGGATATCACATGAAATAATGCTATATGGAAGCATGATAAAGACGCAAATACTATTCAAGTACACTTAAGTCTGATAATTCTATTATAATATATATTATAATATTTTTCAATTAGTTTTTATTATTTAATATTACTATTAAACAGAATTGGGGTCAAAGACGAAAAAGGGTTTAAGCATAAAAACAATACTGCTTTAAATTGTTGTTTTTCCAAAAAAAAAAAAATTTAAAACGTTTTCTGTTTAATGTAATTGTATGTTTGTTTTTGTTTTTCTGAGCAAAAAATAAATATCATACATTTTCCCCTGATTTACAGAAGACACCCACTAAAATGTCATTCAGTGTAACAATCTCGTCAGGCATATTTACAACAAAAATAAATTTATGACATATTAAAAAGCTAATTACTTTCACCCCAAATACTAATTAGTTGTTATTTTACATTTTTTTAATTTGCCACTATCCTAGGTTTTGCCCATTTGTCAGTAAGAATTTTTCTTACTCATTTAAAACCCAATAAAATTTAATATGCTCACTTATTCTTTTATATATTTTAATATGTACAGGTCAGAATAAGTATGTTGTTTGAATTTTTACATAAATATAAGTGTTACACTGAATGACAATGGAACATTATTTCAACCAAATTTTGACATTTTATTCTTCAAAAACTTATTTGAAACCTTAAAAGTAGACACTTTACTTACATTTAATGTGCTTTCTATGGACATAAAATCACTTTTGTAAATTTCTTTTGATGCGGACATCTTAACGTCTTTGACCCATTGATACAGATTTATATTTTTGATGTGTACATACTTTAATTATTTTTAGCAGTAATAGCAGCAATAACAATAATTTATTATTATTTTTTATTTATTTTTTTTTCAGAGCCACATTTTGAGATATCACATGAAAAAATGCTAAATGGATGCAACAATATGCAAATACAGTTCACAGAATGCACATGAACAGGTTGTACTAACTACATGGGTTAAGGTTCGGATTAGTTAATACCCGCTAATTATCCAGTTATTGTAATAATAATTGTAGTAAGCACACACAAAAAAAGGTTGTAGAAACCTTTTTACACTTAGAAATCTCTAGCAAATTTCACCAATAATTACAATTGGAGAAATGGCGAGTAATTACACATGAAAGTAGAAAGACTGAAATACTCCAATTCTCTTTGAAATATAATGTTTTACAGTGCATCGTAAAATGAAATATGGATCTAAACTTAATCCTTAAAAAATCCATAAAACATACAATTCAAAAAATGTGCATAAGCTAGAATTAAAACATTTAACATTTGTGCATCAAAAACGTCTGTGACTGAATAATTCACTGTCAGACCATTATCATCTGTTTTAACATTTTTCAAAACTCCCCACAATCCCAGATTTTCAGGGTGGTCCTCTCACTTTTAATACCGACTGTACATTTAAACACAGCGAGGACACACCTCATGCTGTTCTTTGCTAGTGTCTGTTAGTTAGATTTCTAATGTGTAAATATTTATTCGTCTCAGACTGGAGTCACCCGTTGAACCCGGGCAGGAGGCCAAAGTCAAAATCTACTTCACTCCCACTCAGTCTGGCCTGCGCAAACTCGTGGTGGATTTTGACAGCGACAAGCTGGGCCACGTTAGAGGATACAAGAACGTTATCATCGGGAAATGAGACCCTTCGGTGCTGGAGAACGGAATGTGAAATCCTCTATTTTTCTATGTACTTGTTAGTATTCACAGAGTGTTACGTTATCTTTTATATACTGTATTTTTCTAAGAATGTGAAAGCCAAGCTGGGCAATATGCAACAATAAATGTCAAGAAATCCTTTCATTTTTAGAACGCTGGAACATGCATATTCCTGGATGTGTTTGGCGCCCCATTGCATTGTGGGAAATATCATGCTGTAAAAACACGAATGAAAATGATGCATGCATGCAAGAGACAGTAGTTTAAGAGAGTAAACATTTTATATGCAATTTTTATGTTTTTGGTATCTTTATATTCAGCTGTGACATTAAAAAACAATTACGCTATTACGTTTTTAATCTGTTTTCATTTAAAGGCCTCATATCATGAAAAACCTAATTTGAATTCTTGAAAAGTATAAAAAAGGTTATTTTTTGAAACTAAGCAGCAAAATCGACTCTCAAAAGTGACATCTGTTTGTTCACATTAATCATGCAAATGTATAACGATGCCCATTGAATGTGTCCACTAAGACTTTTTTATGTCCAAAAAACCCATGACTAACAATTTTTTTTTTTAGCAATGTTATTTCCTGAGGTTCTAAAATTATGATACGAGCCCATTAAAGGTTTTTCTTCAGTTTAATCATTGCACACGTTTGATGCACTTTAAATGATGCCCAGAATGCTGTTATCAACATGAACACTAGAAGATTATCTCAGCACATGACTATTCATTTGCCAACACAGGAAGTCAGTCAGACAGCCTACAGTTACTGATCACACGCTCTTTTCCCAAACACTGTTGCTAGAGCACATAAACATTTACATACAGCATTACAGCATTACCTTTGGCATCATTTTCTGGCCACATTCACTTTTGTTTCATAACAAGTAATAAATTAACTCATACAAATGCAGTTGATCCCTGTATTTCCCAATGTAAATACTGCAGATGGATGAGAGTGAACTGTCATATGCATTTATTTTTTTACAATTAAATAAAAAAAAAAATGGTTTGTGCTCCTAGGCTTAAAAAGACATGAGTAATTGATGACAGGATTGTAGTTTCGCGGTGAATAAAACAGAACAGAAACTGCTTTTATATTAAATAAATTATGTTCCTCGGAAGGCTATCATCACATTTAGGCCCCAATAGTATAATTTTTGTTTGAAAATGAATCTGAAGATTATAGGTTTATCCTGATGGTGGCAGTGTTGCATCATGCACAATTTACAGAAGAGCCTGATATTAAAAAATAGCATGAACACGGTATCTTATCTCTGAGCAGAAGACAATAAATCAAGCTTCAAAAGCATATTTTCAGACTTTATAAACTATCATCACAAAATTAGAGTTGAGCAAATAACAGCAACTATTTTTAATGTTTATATGACTTAACTGAAACGTGATAATACACTCTAAAAAACGCTGGGTTAAATACAACCCAGTGCTGGATAAAATAGGGACAAACCCAGCAATTGGGTTGTTTTGACCCAGCGG